TTCGTAAAAATCTCAGGGTACAACTGCGTGCTAGCCTGAAGAAAGACCGCGAAGCTTGGTGGTCCAATTGTGCCTCGGAGATGGAAACAGCAGCTACTGTTGGTAACCATCGTAACTTATTCCGTCTGATACGGGAAACAGGGAGCAGGAGACATGGTGTCAACGAGACTATACGCGACGAGAGTGGGAGGCCGATCCAAAGTCTGTCAAAACGCTTGGAGCATTGGGCCGAAAACCTTCCAAGACAATTTAACCAACCTGTTATCGCTTTCTTTCGTGGGCATTCAGCACCCTTCTCCTTGGGCCGTCTACTTGGATCCGCCCTCACGCGCCGAAGTCGAACGTGAGATCAGGCTGTTGAAATTCCATAAGTCCGCAGGGGCAGATAGAATACTCTCATCCCTCTTTAAATTCGGGGGACCTGCTCTTTACACAAGTTGCTAGTGAAAGTTTGGTAGCAGGAGACTGTCACGACAGACTGGAGCCGCTCCAACATTGTCCCAATTTTCAAGAGAAGCTCCCGTTCGGAATGCGCAATCATAGACGGATCAGTCTGATCTCAATTGCCTCTAAATTGCTTGCGCCTGTCATTCTCCACAGACTGACTGGCACTCGTGAAAGTCAGATTCGTGAAGAGCAAGCCGGGATTCGTCGAGGTCGGGGCAGTATCAACCACATCTTCATCTTGTGTCAATTGTTGTAGCACGACCATCGTTATTGGCGACCCACCGTTATCGTGTTTCTTGACATAAAAGGTGTCTTCGATCCGGTGAATCAACTTGCCCCTTGGGACTGTCTGCTGAGGAAAGGTGTGGCAGAAAAATATATTATCCGGGCGATGTACGCGCATAGTTCGGGCAGGGTGAGGGTTTATGGCAAACTGTCGCCACCCTTCAGTATCACTAGCGGTGTGAGACAAGGATGCCCGCTGTCACCTTTCCTCTTCAACATCGCTATTGATGAAGTCATAGAAACAGCGTACGCTGGGGTGCTACTAAGAAACAGCTGGTGCTCCGCAGTTGTGACGGACACCCGGCCGTTGGCCGTCCGTTCAGAGTTAATCGCATAATCAGTACCTAACTGAGCTTCTGAAGAGCCCAGGTGACGCATTTGCGCATTCATATCACCTATAACTACTATGATATCTGAATTGGTAGCACGGCGTGGTAGCGTGTTCAGTTCGTGAGAGAATGTATCCTTGACAGCATCAGAACTGCAGTCGGTGGGAGCATAAGCGGAAATCACAAACAAACAGCATTTTGTACTACTTAATGAATCAACCTTGGTTGATGACGTCAAATGGACTACACACAAACGGCTGATCACGGGAATCCAATCAACCAACGATGACAGCCTTGGAGCTGAGAACGATGCCTACCGCAGCTTGACCAGCGATTGCCGCATCAGCGTCTCCGGATGTGTGCGACCAATTGCGAGATGTAAGCCGGGCGCAGCCAATTCAACAACCCTGTGAGGACACACATGGTTGGCGGCATCTGGTTTCGGATTTGCCTGTCACTGTGGCCAACCACAGGACACCTGCGCCTACAGAGGCACAATGGATGGCTTGCGCTGCACCACCCACAACTCCATCCACACACCCATATCCAGTGTAAACCCGAAGGAATAAGACCGGGAGGCATGTGGATGGGAGCCACGTTTCCTCAACGGAGCCGGTCCACACTCCTTCACAGGCAAACACAAGCACGCTGTATTTGGGGAATCAAGCGCACACACAAGGCGGTGGCTGGACCGTAGTCCGCTCCACACTGAGTGCATGGAGCCGCTCTTCGAGCCTAGCACGGCCACAAGAACCGTGCATCCCGTCCCATCCAGCAACGACCAACTGTATCCTGGAGCCAGTATGAACGAGGTAGTGGGTAATAGACAGGTAGGCACCTTGTCAACATGCACATCAAGCGCAGCCACACTGGGGATATCAAGCAACAGCCATTCACTTTAAACGACAAGTTGAAATAAAATAAATCCAATAATGCATACAGATACGGTGGCATAACTCTTCCCTAAATTAGCATATGAAGTAATTTGGTTAGCAACGAATCCGCGATAAGTAAGAAATGTCCACAAGTTACTTAAAAATGCTACAAACGCAACAAAAATTACCGAAGATAAGCGTAATTAGCGTAAGCAACGTGGCCAGTTAATAGAATATTATTCAGGTAGGCAGAACAAACCAAATAAAGTGGAATGAAATTTATGCAGCTTAAAAGACCTAGTTTAAGTGTAAGTTGGTTTAGCCCAACTGCGGTGAAGAAGCATCAAGAATGCAACATCAGCCTCAGCATGGGGCACGTCAATACGCAGTGTGTCCAAGGTGCGTGCGAGTGCAGCCTGTTGACCTATCTGTCTTAGAGTGCGAAGGTTGGACGCCGCTCGGGAAACGAGACAGCGTGGTCATATAAGGGACTGTTGCTGGTAGATGTCCAGTGGGTGGTGCGGCATGGTAGCTACAGATGGTTCGAGTACAGTGGCATTACGGCTCCTGTCAATTAAGCAGGGAATTACAGAAGGAAGGTTAGTAATGTGGGTCGGGATGGGAGTAAGAGAAACAGGTGGAAAAGAAAGAAGGGAGGCGCCAGCAGTAGCATGCTTTCGCTTATCCGCCCTGTTGTATGCAGCCGATAAGGCGAGCCTTGATAAGCTGCGCGACGGCGGATGCAGGATGTAGTTGTAGTTTGGGGAAACTGTCATGGTTGTATGTGGGATGAGATACTGTTAGGGCGCACATAACTAGACGGAAAAGCGATTGAGGTCTTCAGCCAAAATCTTTGGCTCAAAAGCCTGTCCGCAAGGCAGCGGGGGTGGGGGGTGGCAATGAGTTAGTTTTACAGAAATTGATGCCCTCCAATTTCAACCCCCAACCCGGAAAACCAGGAGACAGAGTTGCTATGGCTCCTAACCATTGACCAACCTGGTAGGAGTAGCTCTCGAGTTGCACAGGGGGAACCACCCAGTATAGCTCAATGGGTTAAAAGGGTACGCAAACCGGCGCACCACGTTAAGGTCCGGTCTTGTTGCGACGACTGCACCCGATTATCGTGCATATAACTTCGAAAAACGATGAACACCACAGCAATCAGGAACCCGAGTTTATTTAAGTGTGTTACTTGAGAAAGTCATTTTGTTACGTGCAAAAGTCCGGAAAACTGCGACGGTAAATTGTCAAGAAATGCCTAATGATTCCTGACTAGAGATATTGTATTCAAGGAACGCGAGTCGTGCTGCTGATCCTAAGAGTGATTTCGATTGCAGGTCAAAGTTATACTGTGTGAGGCCAGTCAGGGAGCGGGCCACTGGTGTGGTATCAGCCAAGCTGGTTGAAGCGATACACCGCAGAAAGAATCACTCCGGTGCAAACGCATGGGTGTTCCACATTTTGGACATCGGAAATGAAAGAGGGGTGAATTTTTCGGACTGCAAAACGACTGATAAGCACGCGAGAAGCGACAGAGTTTAATCCCAATGGGTTCTCATATCCAGTGGAGTCAGAAATCCAGTTGCTGTCATTTAGATCGAAAGATGACGAAGTGGAGATGCGGGGTAAAGTTATTTTTGGGGAGGGGCGAGAAGTTCACTGAATCCACAAGTAGACAAGTGATGCTGATTGGAAAGTTTATTTGTGAAGCCAAACAATAAGTTTAGTGAACTTATACCACTGATGGCTGTATTCGAAATCAAGGGATGTACGAGTAGTTCATCAGTCTCTGATCACAGAACGGAGTAGGCACGTGGTCATCAAAGAATTCCAATAGAATGATGAAACATCGCCAGTGCGACAGTTTCCTAGTGGAATTCCTCACGTTCAGATGAAAACAGAATGAGTTACTGAAAGCCATAGACTACCGCCAGTGTCGGTCAATCTTTCCAGTACTTCTCTCTTTGATTAGAGATAGTTCATCACGGTCGACTCTCAGTTAGCAGGTTTGAGCTAGTCTGGAATAGCATCCGACACTGGTGTTTCGACGTTCTGGGTCTCGTCAGTAGTGCTCCTTCTAGCGGATCCCTGCCAAATTCTGCCCCCGTGACTTCCGGATGCCAGCAGCTAGTGCCACTTCGCCATGGGTGACAGCCGCGGACCTGCGTGATTGACAGCTGACTATGATATAGCCCGGCTCATCTTCCACTGCCATACTAGTTGCGAACTGCAGAGGACAGCGGAAAGTTTTCTTGCCGCAGTCGTCCCTTCGAAGCTGAACGAATCCAGAAAACTCGAGGCAGACAAGCAGAACCAAAGGATAGGGGGCAAATATTCATAGTTTGACTGAGAGTAGCAGTAAAGAAAACAAGTGGCAAGTTAAGTGCATTACCGAATTTGAGCTGAATGCGGTCTGCACAGACCGCAAACACGAGTCGATGAGGTGTTTTACTGGGTAGGTCAATGAGCTAGGGAACCAAAACGCAAACCAGCGTGCAGACCGAAGTAGCAGATGAAAGTGGCGCGCAGCAGAATAGGAAACCTTAGCAACGGATGTTTGGTGCGTGAAAACAAGTAGACACTTGCAACCTAGAGTGGTTGGTTATCCAGCACACGGAAGTGGTATGCAATCGAGTTGAATGGGACAACTGAGCGGTGAAACCGATTGGAATTCAGTTTCATCAGTGCTGATCGGTCCCTCTCGTAACAGATGATTTTCTGTGGACGATCGAAGCAAGCATAGTATCGGCGAGGTGCTGGCTATCGGTGATTAAACGTGCACAATATGCACTAGGATCGCAGTGTTATCGCTTGAATTCAAACCACATGTCTCCTGAGGAAGGGCTAAGAAAGAAGAGTGATGCAGGGAGCAATGGAATGGAAAGTTCTATGACACAACGAGGGAATATAAAAGCGTGCGATACAGGTTAGGTCATCGTGTTCACGTGTCACAAGTCTGGTATTACCGTTTGCTACTGCTATCGGACCGGATACAAGCAGATAATACGAGAACGTTAGAAGGCACAAAATGAAAACAGGAAACAAAGCAAACGAATTCACTCACAACTCGAGGCCAAAATGAGGGGAGCAATCGATTTCGGGTAGACCACGGGATGGTGTCGAATCGTTTTATTTTGAACCCGATAAGCCAATGCAATGTCAAACACGCAGTCTGTCTGAAAAAAAGAGAATAAAAAACCCGAACACGCACACACACTACCCTTTCGGGCTGGGTGTGGACTAGGATGAGGTTATCAACCAAGTTTATCGCAATGGGCCCGTCAGAATTCACGAGCAGAATATCAGTCAAGTCAGTGGACCCGTCACTGTGTGAAAAAATCAGTTAGAAAACACCAAGGCTTATCTACTCACTTATATATTCGGTACATATTTACCACAGTTGTTGTCTCGCCCCGTGCACTCGACTCCGCATCCCTCGACACGAGGAAGAAGTAGGGATGACCGTAACTTGAACGGCATTAGTCAGTTATGAACTACTTACACAGTTGTCAATAGGCAGTGATTTTGTAAAAACGCTGTAATCTCAGGAGAGTTAATGGCAGGTCCAGTGGGTAATTCGAATTTGCCAAGCTTGCTTATTGAGTTGGATGACTAAAATAAGAATAAACAAAAGAAAATAGAGTTCAATGATTCAGGTAATATTTTTGAAAGTGATCTAGGATCTTGTAGAATGGGGGTGAAACTGGGTCTGACGATCGGGAGTTTTGACTTCAACAGATAAAATAGTTCAATCGTTCATTTGTTTGGTTGCAAATGTTTCACCAACCGCTTCGACAGAAAGAACTAAGGAGAATTATATCACAAGATTTAAAACAGAACAACTCGGGCAACGAATTAAGTCGTGGGGAAAGTGGGTAGAGATCACGGGACGCGAATCGAGGCTGCCACTTACAAAAGTCACCTATAGGTCGATCACGGATCGACGTTTCATGCAGTAAGCTTGCACACTGCATCTCACTGCACTGAGAATGCCACCTCGCATGGTGCTGAGACGTTTGCAACCAAACCCCAAAGCTCGGAGAACAAATGAACAATTGAATCATCAAACCGAGTTATCAGTATTCCGAAACATTTTAGACAAAATAGGAGTGAGAAAAAGCATACGTACGCCCAGTTGAAACGCTTGGCACAGGACCGTTGAACCTCCGGTACAACAGACGATGATATGGCTCGCGAAATCCCACGCGAACCAACAGGACGACAAAGCGATTTGTTTGAGCAGGCGCAGATTGCCTTTGGAAGGGAAGACCTAATGAAAAAAGAAAGTTGATTCCGAAACGAATTGTTTGCTATGAAAGCGCTAGTACTCATAGAGCAATGGACTACACGAGGTGGCAGGAGCATAGTACTGGTGCGAAATGAAATAAAACCATGCCAGATTGCAAATAATGGGGGCAATAAGGGGAATACCAGAAGCACCAAATAGACCCGGGAACTCTACCGAGCGGTACTGGGTCACAGAAGAAATTAGGAGAAGCCACCAGATACCAAGGCGTTAGTCTGTCATCTGGTGACGCTTGTGTTTGAGAGTAAAGTGATCAAGGTCGCTGAGATCACAAAATTTTAAGATTTGCAGAGAAGGCTCAAAAGAAGAGAAATTGGGCGGAATGGCTGTAATGTCGATGGGATAACACATCAAACGGTCCAGAGTGATTAGCCAAGGAAGCAAAACAAACCGTATGGATGAACTTAAATGGTGGTTTTGATTTCAAAAAACTTGGTAGACGACCGGTTAATGTATTTATGGTGGTCGTTAGGAAATAAATGCGGCATAAAAACAATAGTTGGATGACAAGCCATGAGGGTGGTGTAGCGAAAAGTAGTAGTTGTTGAGACCAGGCCACTAACAACGCGAAAACGCTTGTTAAGAAATACCTCTTTAAAACTGAGTACCGGTGCCAATGAGGCTATAAGACAAACGGACAACTTTTATCTGTTGTTTATGCACGGATGATTTATCATCTTTTAACTACGTTCAATGCGGCCGTTGATAAAGTGTTTACTCGTCCGACATAGCCACCCTAATTACTGACTTCGGAAGACTAATAATTGCTGATGAGGGAATGGGATGCCAAGTCTTTATAAAAGTAGGATGCATAAACCTGAACCAACAGATCAGGAGACATAGAGGCTAGTTATATCTGACCACTGGTACCTTCGCAATTTCGCTCACATCTGGTGGAAACACCGGGTGAAGAACGAACGTGTTCGGTGCATTGTTTATGGCACTGAAATAGGAAGTGAATCACTCAGCACCGTTATTTCACGCACCACGCTCCGATGGCTGCGCTACGCGTTGCAGATGCTAGCATACCGACTCCTGCAACGTACATTATTTGCACGTTGGAGGTGTTTGTGGAAAAAAGAGGAAGGAAGGCCAACCGACGTCATAAGCAAAATGAATGAAGGTCCTCACTTCGAAGTTGGCCTCGTTTGGAGCCTCTCGGCTCTCTGGTTGGGGCCCAAAAGACGATGAGAACACCTAGCTTGAGCCGACTTCAGTGGCGTTTGTGTTGTAAGTTTCTTTGTCCCTCCTCCTCTCACTTAGCCTCCTCTCTAACCACGATCTCATTCCTGAAGCGGCAAAACAGCCGGCTGCTAGCGCGCTGTTACTGGTGACTCAGCTGGTGCGCCTGTGTTGTGTATTGCTGCACAATGGCTGAGATGTCCTCACCTCTAGCTAAGGTGTATAATGAAAGAATAAAAGAGGAAGCACAAAGAGTGTTTTCATCATAGAACCAACCACCACCTGGTATTCGTAAGCACACACACAGCAAATGGGTGATGTGCTTAGTCATTGGTTGTCTGCGATTTGAAACAGGCGCCACTATCATTCGTGTGTTCCCAAACGCATTCCGTCAAGTTTGTACTAGATACGCGAATGGCGGAACGCAAGCTACCCCTGGTCCTTCTGCCGCCGTCGACAGGATGAAGGAAAACACCAGAAACAGATGCTACTATCCACCGTAGCCGAGGAAAATAAGGGGATAGAGAATGGAGAGTAGTATTACGTACCAATGCTTCGTAGTAAAGCAGCCGTAAAACAGTTGTAAACTGGCTACGTTTTTGCAGGGACGACGCTCAAACCCATGCATCATCATCATGACACATTAATTGAAAGTGAGAAACACCTGAACTATTGTGCCGCAATATATAAAGAAAATACATAGAAAAAAGAAAAGATACTGACCATTATGAAATACAAAAAAGGCAACACACCACTTGGTAACACAGTTTACACGGAAAGGGAAAACACGGGGATGGGAGGGACAAAGAAGCTCACAACACAAACGCCATAAAGGTGGACTCGTTGTCATGCGAACTAGTGCATCCAAACAGATGAGTTCACCGTCCTTCGGACCCCAGCCTGGCAGACACCAACCGACGCCAAGTTCGAAGTGAGGGACTTCAATCCTCTTGACTAAGCCATAGGTTGGCATCCACTCCCCTGCTTCTATCTACACCCCCGGGCACGCAAACAACGCACGTCGCAGGAGTCGGTGGGCTGGCATGCGCAACCCGTCGCCCAGCCGTCGGAGTCTAATGCGTGGGATAACGGTGCACAGGAGCGGGGATCCGAACTCGGGACGCAGGGGTCGCAATCCAAATGCGTGATCCCTTACGTCATAGATCCCCGATTGCAGAAAATTGACAATACACAATAAGCAAATTCATCATCGTCACTCCCAATCAATAGGCTTAGGTTAGTCTGGAATGATAACAAAATGCTCACTACTCATCCGTAATATAAAATCTGTCCGAATAGTTTCTAAGTCCTATGTCGTACATAGACACTAGGCAGAAAGTCCCAGCTCTGCACAGTTCGTAAGTGGCATGGCAGTGAAAGATGAGCCGGGCTATATCATCGTCAACTGTTAATAACGCAGATCCGTGACTGTCACCCATGGCGAAGTGGCACTAACTGCTGGCATCCTGAAGTCATGGGGACGGAACCCAACAGGGATCCGCTGAGAGGCGCACTACTGACAAGACCCAGAAGGTCGAAACGCCGGCGTATGGTGATTTTCCAGACTAGCCTAAGCCGGTTGATTGGGAGTGACGATTATGAAGTTGCTGAATTATACCAAAATCCTCACTGTTACTTATCGATACAAAATCAGGCAGCGCAACAGTCTTTCTTGTGTAGAAAATAATGGGGTGGGCTATTTTGCAGTAAGATTTCAATCCGTGATGATCGACTATCATTCGCTGGTCATATAAGCTGCTGGCAAATGGTGCACGCCAGTAGTCATTACGGAGTCGGTTCCCGGAAGGGGATCGAGGGACTGCGAACCACTGACGAGTCCCAAGAAGACGAGATAGCTGTTTGGTGCTTTGCCGGATTGGTGGTTGTAGTGTTTGGCATGTAGTCTAATTGCGATGAGACAAGTAAAACTTACCGAATCCCTTTGTACATTAATAACCGAAACAACGTGCGATGAGGTGTTTCTACGATAAACGCATGAGAGAGAAGGCAGTACGCGAAGAGGAACATAAACAAATGTGCGGCAAAAGCATACAAATGATTGTCAAGTAAACGGAGAAGGTGAAATGTACCGACCTGGTACAATTCCAGTTGCTCCGACGTAACAAATAGGACCTCTAAGGAGACACACCACACAAATCCGAGCAAGTGAGCCGACTTCCCCTTGTGAAAGACGTAAGATTTGGAAGAAAAATGAGAATACCTTGCATTGTTGGCTATATTCACCACCGTCGGGAACGCCATCAACAAAGTTGAGAAAATCCACAGAATTCGATTTACGCTGAATGCCGAGTACTTTGTTCCCAGTGGAAAATTTGATGCACAATACTTCCCCCCGATCTTCAATACTGAGTGAAAACAAACAGGAGACACATGACGGACATAAAGCGCGCAATGAGACGCACAGCAACCTTTCAATCCGCAAGTTAATTGGTACATGAAAATCCAAGACGTACAAACGCTTTTGGTTATGTTAGTAGAAGATGGATAAACCTGAACAATATAGAAGTACCGCTGCTGCAGGAAGCAAGGGGGTTCAAGCACATCATTAACTTGTAAGGGACGAAGTGTCGGCCAGTGGCCGAGTGGTCTGCAAATCTGGTTTGAAATCATAAGGTCCCTGGTTCGAATCCCCGTAGGGGTGGGCGTCCTCGCGGTATACGCAGTCCGTGCGCGAGACAGCGAAGCGCCGTTACGGCGTACAGCTGACACATTATCAAGGGACGAAGAGACGCATCTCCGTTTTGAGGCATTGTTCAAGTATGGTGGAAGAACGTAGGGATCAATAAGGAAGTTTATCGTGCGGTGTCCGGTAACAACAGACTCTTCTGTCTCAATGAAGGGCCTGTTGAACTTGAATCGTCTTCTTTAGCTCCATTATGATGTGGTGGCCCGAGACCAGATACTACTACTCCACGTGAGTAGTATAAAAGTGCCAGGAAAAAAGACGGTAATGGAGTAACGGCAGATTCCACCGACGCCCCTGTTTGTCCTTTCTACCTTGCCAACATTCGCTCGCTCCTTAATCTGTTCGGCTGACCTATGCTTCAACCTTAGTGTTCACTTAACTCTGTAATGCGACCCGGCGAACGACTGCCTGACTCAAAAGAGCAACGATCGATGAGCGAGCCAGTAGACACGCCAGCTAGCAGGGTTGCTCCGAAAGCTAGCATTTGTATTTAAGGTCATAAAATTTATTACTGGAATGTATGCAATTTATTGACCACTCACTAATGATGGCTAATCGAAAATGATTAGGTGGTTAGTTACGTGTTTCGATACGGATGATTTTGTTAGTAATTTTGTTTGACGACAGAGTTATGACGCAATCCTCGTACTTAAATTTACTCGCTGTAAAATTCCATTTTGCATAAGGTTGAAAACCACTGACATAAACCATTCGAATGCTATAGTACCCCTTGTTATTCAATGAATATTATTACTACTATCATGATTATTTTGGTGACGCGTGTCAAAACACCTGGATCCACTGCATCTGGACGCATGGGTCATGGTTAATGAACCGAATTGAACTCTTGTTGATGTAACCTAAGAACTGACAATTACAGAGTGGAAAATGGTGTTTTAGAGGTTACATGTGATAAATGTGAAAAAGTTTGGGTACAAATTATAAAAAGTAAAGCAGGTAGCCGATCAAATTCGGTTGAATTCCAAAGACGATTCGACCGGTATTTAGCATGGATCTACCGCAACGAGATGCGTTATACGACGGTGAATCTGCACAACATCAGATAATAGTGAAACCCGTCAATAATCAGAGGTTGTGTAATCATCAGGGGCCATTAGGCTATGCAACTTATCATATGGAGTACGTAAGCTACCGGATGCTATTTGAAAGAAACAACAAGAGGGGGAGGAGAACAATTCAGACGATGATTGAGAAGATAACAAGGAGCAGTCATCCGTAGGGATGCACCCAAACGTTAGACTTCATTTAACCGGGAACAAAACTATGAATGAGGATTACATCTACAAGTCATCGCGGGTTCATAGTCAAGGACGCAAGAGTCTGGTAATTAAAAAGAATGTGATTCTAGGTAATGAAAAGTGATACAATCCGGAGAAACAACAACAAACATAAAAGTAATGTGTTTAAACTATGTCAAAGGGTATGGGTAAAAAACCTAGCCACAAATAATAAGGGCAAGATCATGATAAACCGGTAGTACAGTTAAAAGATTAGCTTAGTGAGATTCTTCCCTACGCTGTCCTGTGGGAGGGATCAAACGCACAGCGCTCTCAACAATCAAAAGAATGCTGTAAAATGCGGAATGGCATCGAATTCAGGAAAGTATACCGCCATCATGTAAGCTGAGTCAAAGTCAAAATTGGGTTCTCTGAACCACCTGCATAACGCGCAGCCTGACTCGTGAGTGATCCAGTGCACTATACTGCTGAAACATCAACGTGAAAGTTCAGATTGGTGAATCAACCGAAGTTGAAAGCCGATAGATTTTATGACCCTGGAATTCGGTCATGAATTCACCGAAATGTTGTTCAGTCACCATACACGGTACTTTGCTTGTCCAAAACTACAGAGACAGGTAAAGGTCGAATGAGTCGTCATTATGAGAACAACAGGTGTGAGTTTATAAACCACACGGACACATAAGACAATGGATTACTTTTATCTCGGTTGCTGCAAAGGAACTACTGAATGTCCCGTGCAGTAAGCTATCGTCATCTCGAGTTAACTTCGGCTTCGCTAAGCTCAAGATTGGATAACAGCAATGGGGGAAGAATGTGCTACCTACAATACCAACAAAAGCCAATTTCTTGTGAAAATGATCACTAGTAGCACAGTTGCGTCGAAAAAGAAAATCGCCAGCAGTACGCCAGTGCGTAGTACCGACGCTTCGCTGCTGAGCAACCACCACCGGTCGCACGTGGGCTAACGATACTGTGAGGGTTGTTCGGCCTCTATGCGGACTCAAACCCACGCGCTCAGATTATAGGGAAGGCTCGCGATTCTTAATGACACGTGCCGTGACCTCACAATGTGAAGTAAGGAAACATAAGTAGAACACCAAACTCAAAGCACAAACATCGGTAGAAAAAAACTCAAGCTGGTATGGAAATGGTTCTTCACTCACATTGTAGAGATAACATCGCCATCACCAACGTGACTGATGTAGCATGCGTTAAACACATCAGGGTCCCAACTTAAATGATCAAAACTCGCCAAAAAACTGAGTGGAACATAACAGTCAGTCAAGTGACGCGTTAGTAGGACAGGGAAAATAGAAATCGTAAAACAGTTTATAAACAAAATGGTCCCTCAGAACTGGTAACAGACGTGACGTGCAGCAAAAGGGACAAGAGAAGATAAGCCGTACTTTTTATTGTCTCGAGAATTAGTTCAGTTTGCACGAGGAAGTGATCTACGAATTGTCAGTAAGCAGACAAGTGTGGGAATGCACAGCAAAAACAGAATCGTAACGAGATGGTGTACAAGAGAAGCGTCGAGTAATGCCGATCGGCACAGGGGACTGAATGAAAATGGAATATAAAGCCTTACTTGGTGACGATCCTCAAGGTATGCAATTCATTCTGGATCGTTTGGCGGTCGAAGCGTCTAAGTATGGCATGAGCATCGCCCCATCGAAGTGTAAAGTACTGCTCAAGGATTGGCTTTCACTTGCTCCCTCTCGAAGGTGCACAACTTGAACAGGTGGATAGTTTCGTCCACCTTCGGAGCTGTGTTTCTGCTGACGGCATTATCAACAAAGGAGTTTCTCTTCGTATCGCTAAATCACAATCAGCATTGGTCAATCTGAGGCACTTGTGGTGTCGTCGCGACGTCTCATTCTCACAAAAGGATCGCGTTTACAGCGCATCAGTTCGCTCAGTATGGTTGTATGGATGCGAGTCCTGGCCGATTCGCGTGGAAGACATGCGTCGTCTTTCTGCCTTCGAAAACGGCTGCTTAAAGAGGATCGATCGTGTTTGATGGCAACATCAAGTTAACAGTACTGACGTTCGACGTCGCATCTTGGGGAATGCGAGTATTCCCTTCAACCAACTGGTTTTGTTGCGCCAGTTAAGATGGCTCGGTCACGTCCTACGCATGACACCCGAGCGTCTACCGCGTCGCGCTCTATTCGCTCGTCAAGAACCTGGCTGGAAGCGACCGCGTGGTGGTCAGCCTTCCAATTGGCGGCAGCACATGAAATCGCTGACGTCGTGTCTAGCCACTGTTGGATCCGTACGTCTTCCAGGATGGGAACCCAAAGATGAGGAGTGCCAATGGTTTAGCACTCTTGAAGATATGGCCCGCAACCGGAATCAGTGGAAGAATTGTGTACAGTATTGTATTGATTCACATGTTTAATACTACAAACATTGAAAATGACAAAAAAGTGAAAAATCGGCGTGTGAAAAACAAACTAAAAATGTTTTGTTCTATTTTTTGTCAAAATGTTCCATTCTTCCTGCGGCATATTAGCTGAAGTGTGTTGCTCACCTTCAACTACCATGCCACGATGATTATGACGCAGTGACTTCCCTTTATCTGCTAATCTCCATGGCTTTGTTAGCTCTATGTCTAGTTACTGGGCTGTTGAGATTACATACATACATGATTATGTAGCTAAGACCAGGTTTGGTGCCACAACTACCTATCCCGTCACTGTATAGAGCTAGTTCGTTGTGCATAACAGATGCATAGGTGCGCAAGTTCTTGGTAAGCCTACTGTTTACCTGATGGCGTAGGATGAAGGTGTAGACATGACTATTCCCAGAGGATCATACCGGCGCAATACTCAGTGTGGCTAGGAGATCCGAATGACATAAATCGTAGGCGCAATCCACGTCGTTCATGCTAGACTCAAAATGCCCACTGCAACAATCCAGGATGGTGTGCTGCAAAGCACTGATCTTCCTGCTCGAACGGACCTGGTAGGAAGAGGCCATCGCAGCTAACTGGAGTGGATCGATTATAATGGCAATATACACGAAGGACAGTCGCACCGAATGTGATAACGCCAGTTGTGAAAAATTTCCTGGCCTCAATTCTCGTTCGTCGCCTCACTGCGAAACGGGAATGCCGGATTAGGAAAGAACCGGTAGGTTTCCGCCCTGAAGGGGGTTGTATAGACCATAGTGTAATAACTCAAGATACGGACGGAGTTATTTATTGTATTATATAGCTTGACTAGATGCAATGGTTCTGATCAACGAAGTTCCACTGATCAACGCATTCCCCGTTGGAGTTTGCATGGTTCACGTTGCTCCTGTGTCTAGTAGCTATGTAGCGTGCATTGCTGTCCATTCCTCGTGTGCATGTCTTCGGTTTCCAAGTGTACCTTTCCTTTCGGAGTTATTATGG